ATTTTATCAAAAAATATAACTTATAAAATAATACATTATTTTTTCATTACTTTAAAGTTTGATTTTCTAAAACTTACTATGATTTGTTTAACTTTTAAGTTTGGAAAAACTACAAATTTTTAGAATAATCTTTAACTTTATCCAAGTATTGAAAAAGCTTGTGTTAGTCACTAGTAAGAAAACTAATAAAATAAAATAAAATGGATGTTTCGCTTTTCATAATAGCTGTGGAATAAAGTGAAACTTTTGATGGACAAGCAGACATTTATCATAAAAATCATGAAAATTTACATGCACACATGATAAATACATGCAATATATTGTAGTAAGTACTCAGGCACGTAAAAAGTGATATCTTAAATTGGTTGTCTTTAATCTTACACAACAAAGGCTTGGAAAAAAATCACAAGTTTTAAATATTATGCTGAAAATTTATGAATGATTTTCAAATCTTATGACAAAAACAAAATGAACATACCGGTATGTTTCATAAGGATTTTTAATCCATTTCTAGTTCCTGAGATTAACTCTTTTTTTTTTTTTTTTACAAATTTTTTGTCACTTAAGATGGTTATTAAAAAAAAATTTTTATTTTGCTCGTTATTACGTACAAAATTGTATACTTCATATTAATACGTCAGGATATAAAAACTTTTGTTATCAATAAATGTGTTATTTCAGTGTGTAATGGGAAATGAGGACTTCTTATAGAATCATTTGCGGAAACAATTCATGTCAAGATTCAATATTGAACTTTGACATTCGAGAAGCACAACCTTTATTTGTAATGTGACGTACATGCGTGTGGTACTCGCGTCTGATTAATTTATTTCTCATTTACGTATGCAACAGCATCAATACTCAACTATCTATGACATTTATTTATTTGATTGATTGATTTTTATATCATCTACAAAGAAAAATTCATATTATGAAAAAGAGGTCAAGAGGTGGTTCAACAGACATTGATTGTTGGATAAGTATATTACCTCATTATTTAACTTATGCATATACAATGTGTGTGCATGTGCGTGAGCATGCAAGTATATTTATGCATATGGCTTTGTAAATGTATGTACATACGCAAGGAATGGTTTTTAAATTAATATGGTTAACTGGTCTTTTGTCTTTAACTATTGATATGAAAAGTAGAGTAATTTCCGAAATCATGTAAATATATTAAAAATATATGCAGTTGTTCTATATTTCTGGCTTAAGACGTTTACTTATCAATTTTAGGTTCTTATTCATTATAGTGATAAGGATTTGAATCAACACATTTCATTTATCAGACTAAAGTTTGAATGTATAAATGTATGTGAACTGAATACTGTTTTATGATCTGTCGAAATGCTTGACTTTAAAAATGGATAGTACCCCTGATGAGAACTAATCGTACATCATTAACAATTAAAGTTATTGTCTTGTCTTTTTGTCTCTAGTGAGAGCTTTATAACATACTATGGTTAAACTGTTACATTACAACATTGAGAATGTAACAAAAAATTGCAGATATAAAGACATGAGAAAATTTGATGAAATTTAATTAAGAGTATGCTCTCAGAAACACTTATATTACGATTTTTACCATTAAAATTGGAGAACTTTAAAGTGATCTTAGTACACAACAATTTTTTTGAGTATAATTATCACAAAAGTGAAAAATAATTTTTTTTCGTGACGTGTACAGCTATTGCACCATTTTTACCTATCTATAGACTATAATAAACAACAATTAAGAATTTAGTTTTGTACAATGTGATTTTGTTTAACAAAAGTCTTAAAAAATTATGTTAAATATGATTAGTTTATAGTTTTTAAGGTGGTTTATACCACTGATTGTTTCTCAACCTGATAG